AAAAAAAGCCGCGAAAAAATCCGCAATAATTATGCATCAACCTAATACATTTGCTCGTCTCTCTCAAATAAGGTGTGTAAGCGGCCATCTGGTCATCAAGATCCGCAAACCCTTTCATCACGTTGTAATCGGCTACTATCAGGCTGGCAACTTGCATCGTGTTTGGTAGGAAGCATATGGATAATTCTTCGATCCCTCCACTTCAGAACCAGAACTCATTTCTGGTTCTGCTGATAGAAGAGCCCACCACGTTTCAGCCTTTTGCCTTTCAGTGCTGAAGGTAGACCTTTCCGATTCCTTCCGACCTACTGAGTCGGCGCGTTTCTTCAGAAGTCTGTGCGCTAACGGTAAGCTCGTGTACCAGATGTCGATGTACAAGCACCTGCCTTGCTTCGAAAATCCATCCATAAATTCCATCACAACGGTTTCAGCTACTGTCCTCGTTCTCATTTTATCTCTCCTGGCGTAGACCTTCACCTTCAGCGGGAAACCCGCTCTAGAGCACAACTTGAACACTATGATCCCAAACCTGTGCCTCTTTGCTCCACTATATTGCTAAAAGGAGACTCCCCCGCAAAGCAGCCATTAATGCACAACTGCTTCTCCGGTTCATACACTCTGGAACTTAGCGTTCAAGTTGTCCAAAATTGGTTGAATCCTATACAATTTGTTACTCCTATTTGCATAGCTATTACCAACAAAATGGAGGTTTCGTTGGGGCTGTTCGAATCGATCTCTTACCATAATGTCACCGGCTATGGAATGCCCATTTCCCGCTAGATTTCTAGGTTTTAGTGACCAATAGTTCCTTTGATTGTAACCAGGAAGGTCTTTCAGGGCGTAGGACGCTTTTTAAATGGTTTTCTGCATGGTGTAGGGGCATGAATACTGAGTATAAAACTATGGTCCATTTCCGCTAAATGGCCTTCTGAAAGCCAAAGAAGGAGTGAAAATGTTTTTGTCGGAAATTGCTGTTTTAACCCACTAAGCGTCGTCCGTTCCATTCATGGCGTGGACTGTCCGCACAGCAGAAGGGGCCAGTGGAGGTGACATTGAGATAACGGTAGCCAAAGAAGGGACCCTTGTGTTGAAAAGTGCGAGGAGGTTTCATATGCGCTCTCCGAGGTCAAGCTGCTGGCAACGGCGAATGGTGTGGTGGGTAGCTATGTGGACTTCGAATTGGGACGGCTAGGCTTGGTTGATGGTTCGGATTTCCGGGGTTTTGCGTTTTGTGCTATCACCTCCAGATTGGCTTCATATTGCACCAGGGCCAAAGCAATGAGCCAGAGAGATGGAGGGGACGACTAGGCTGGCCTGGCCGACCACCTAGTCGTATTCGATCACCAGGCATACTTGATACCAGCGTCACTGTCCCGCACAATGCACTCCTCTACATCTCGTTCACTCCTTCGACTGATGCTAAAAGCGTTTGTTAAGGTTAAATCGGTGGCCTGTATGTATGCACATTGACCGTGTCCTTTAACGATATTTATGTGTGTAATTGAATATTGCAGGAATGTCTCGGATCTGTCATCCTGTTCTGTGCCGGTACCCACTGCATGATTTTTCAGTGTTGACAAGTCTACGTGTGCTCTTTCAGGCGTAAATCTCGACCGCGAACTCGAAAACCCAACTCCTGGCTGAGATTCCCTCGATGGAATCCACGAGGCGAATCTGTAGCCGATCACAAAGGAACCTGTACATGGACACCATACCGAAGAAGATTGCCTACCATGTACTAACTGTGTAGCTCTTCCCTAAGAGAACCAGTCTGGTGAAGCGTAGCTGCTCTGCGTCAGATACCCCGAAAGACGAACAAGGTGCTGCCTTCTACGGCCCATGGCCGCCTCTGGCACGGCCGAGAAGTCGCTCGACGAAACGCTGTTCAGTTCGAAAGATGGCACCGACTAAAAACTTGACCGCCGGGCCAATGCGACCTCCTACAACGAAACCTCCTACGCGGAAGAGTGCATTGTGCGGTGCAGTGGCGCTGGTACCGAGTATGCCTGGGGATCAAATACGACTAGGTGGTCGGCCAGGCCAGCCTCGTCGTCCTCTCCATCTCTCTGGCTCATTGCTTTGGCCCTGGTGCAATATGGAGCCAATCTGAAGGTGACAGCACAAAAAGCAAAAGCGGCGAAGCCCCGGAAATCCGAACCATCAACCAAGCCTAGCCGTCCCAATTCGAAGTCCACATCGCTATCCACCACACATCCGTCGCTGCCAGCGGCTCAACCATGGACAGCCTATATGAAACTTCCCCGCACTTTTCAACATAAGGGTCCCTTTTTGGCTACCATTCACGTTAGTTCGATGCGCAGTCCACTGGCGTCTTCTACTTTGCGGACAGTCGACGCCATGAATGAAACAAACGACGCTTAGTGGGCTAAAACGGCGTTTTCCGACAAAATCATTTTCATTCCTTTTTTGGCACTCAGGCCATTTAGTGGAAATGGACCATGGTTCTGTACTCAGTGCTCATGCCCATACACCATGCGAAAAACCATCTAAGATTTGTCTGTGTCGCAATATATATATAGGGGTTTCATAGTATTCCACATTTTGATGTACTCCTGTCCGTTCGTTGAAAATCCATCTACCATTCGGAAGTGCATCGTCAGTCCAGGTATTATTGTCCGTGTCACTGTCGCTACCACATTCTTCGGTGTCATCTGTATCAAAGTCTTTTTGGTCTCGCACAACTGCACGAACGAATCCATTCTCCCTCAGGTTCATAGAACAATAGAATCCGCAGTACAACATTGACAAGAGCAGGGATTTCAAGTTCCTGTTTCCTCATGTCATCACCTGGTTCTTCACATGATGGCGCACTCGTAAAAAATCTGCTGCAAGATCTGTGAAAGAGCGCTATGACCAATCAACTGGCTGCGTTGATGAGCAGTAAACGCGACATATTCTCGATAATGTGCAAGCCCGAACACCGTGCTGTCCACTTCAGCAGAGATCTTTACCAGAAATCACTTTCCTATAGCATGCTTGTACGGCAAGATATTGCCTGGCTGATAAATTAGTTGGTTTTAAGGGCACAATTCACGATAATTTTGGGGTATCCGGTTTTTGACGGGAAATGATAGGTATGGCCTACAGTAGTACAATGGATAAACAGAAATCGCGAAAAACGACGAATAAAAGTAATACAAAGGGTCAAAAAGAGAAGTAAAAAGGGGGGTTGGACGAGTTACACAGCCAAAAACCGCGGTTAAGGAGAGGGTGCTATCTATGGAGTTAACGGCGTCTGCAAAATTCGCTGTGGGACCGCAATACCGTAACCCGAGCTCGTGTGCTTAGTTCCAGCTGGCCTAAATTTAATCTCGTAGTTTCATTACGGACATAGTCAAATTTGACGAAAGAAGGTTGGGTTGAAGCGTTTTTATACTTAAATTATATTGTTTCACTTAGGGAACCAGTACGATAGGTAAAGTACGGTGGATCATCAATTCAGTATCGTTGATACTAATACCACTGGTTTCTGCTGCTGTTCACGTGCTTGGTTGCTTACAGTTGGGGATAAAGTCAAATTTGGCCATTTTTTTGTTTGTCAAGACACTACCGTCTTTGCGCACCTTCATAGTACGTGTGTTCTGACCCGTGTACTATGACCTTGCACTGTTTGTTTGCATTTTGGGAAACGGAATAAGAATAGTAAACTTTTTTTTGGCTGATATATACAAAACACCGAGTGGTGAGGTTCGAATGCGTTCTTGAAGGTTTCCTGGTCTCTTTCCATTGTTGGGTCCATTGGCATTGGAATCCTAGGTTAGAACACTTTATCACATCGTAGGTATTGAAGGTAGTTTACCTTGCGTTGAATGTTCGATTAAACGTCTTCCTTTTAGCAGGGTAAAGACGGAAAGTTGGCGCGGTTATCCATCTGACCTTCATTTCATGCATTTCACGAAGTCTGCCGCGGTAGGAAATGAGCGCGGATAAGGTATTGCGGTCCCACGGCGAATTTCGCAGACGACGCTGTGTCTGCAATTGCACACAACACACGCAAGCAGCTGAGGGGACGGAATTTACATGCGCCCGAGGATGCGCGCGGCAAACTGCGCGGCGAAGTGCGTGGTGGTTTGAACAACTCTAGCGTTTATCAAAGGGGCCCAAATTTGAAGTAGAGTAGATCATTAGTATCAGCTGACCCTACTAAACTACTCTACTTCGAGTTTGAGCCCCAATGATAGGCCCCAGGGACGTTCTAACCACCACGCACTCCGCCGCGCAATTTGCCGCGCGCATCCTCGGACGCACGTAAGTACCCATACCCAAACAGCTGATTTTGCAACAAAATCTACATGCCCGTCCGTGGCAATTTGCCAATCAGATTTTCGATTGTTCACTAATGTTGCTCCAATGCGAACCTGGTGAACGGAATTAGATTTCGCAGTCAGCTTAGCGTCCCCCACTCTCAGGACCCTTACTGTGTCCTATCCAGAACGTTTAACGACTTCATTTCAGCACATATGGTATCAAAGGGAGCCCCGAATTCATACCATGTAAAAATCTCCGAAACCATTTTTATCGTGATCTGTGCCTTTAAGAACTCCGTGGAAGAAAAAGGACCAGACGACNCACTAATGTTGCTCCAATGCGAACCTGGTGAACGGAATTAGATTTTGCACTCAGCTTAGCGTCCCCCACTCTCAGGACCCTTACTGTGTCCTATCCAGAACGTTTAACGACTTCATTTCAGCACATATGGTATCAAAGGGGGCCCCGAATTCATACCATGTAAAAATCTCCGAAACCATTTTTATCGTGATCTGTGCCTTTAAGAACTCCGTGGAAGAAAAAGGACCAGACGACTTTCTACGTCAATGTACACATTTCACTGGTAAGAAATATTAGCTGTAGGGATTGTTATTGTTATTGCCATCCAGTATTCAATATGATCTGAACCACTGAGAGCAGAATTATCCCCATCATGATGAAGCACTTCACCTTGCTGTCATATCATCATCACTAGCACTCAAGAATGAGCACTGACGGCTCATTACATAATTAAAATATATTAAAGTAAAACTGAATACATGCGGATGGCAATACAACGCTTCAACAACTGGGAAATTCTACAAGAACTGCCGAACGGTTTTTCTGGTATATTTTGGAAGAGGGTTTATCTGTAGATAACAAATAAATGGAGAACAAGAAGGTATGGCAAGAATTAGCTCAATAGAATCGTTCATAAACTGGAAACTAACCGCATCCTTCTTGTAGCAATTCTAGATTTTGCAAGATCAGCCAGCGTTTTCTTAGGCCTTGTCGAATCCACCGCACCTCGTTTAGCCTCAAATCAAAAAAGTGGATCCTGCTATATAGCTTAAAAGAAAGAATATTTCCTGACTTCGTTAACAGAAACAGATCGCTCTGAGAATATCTTCTCTAAATCATTACTCGGCTCTGCAGCAGATGTTTTGAAAACGGTATAATCCCACTGAAATCAGATGAGTAAGCAGCAAACATACGGTAATTACTTCATTAGTGAACTTCAATCAGAGTGGAACCTGTGGAAATCTATATACGAAAGTGCTAAAAGACAATATGGAGATGCAGAGAGGAGTGCTCAAACAGCCTAAATGATGCCCAAAGCATTTCTTGTTCGGCTCGCCCCTCCTACCAAAAAAAGAGAAATCAGGCATAGTCGCGTGAAAGATAAACGCTGCACCATATATGTTGAAGAAAGATGTTTGATACTAGCACACGAGAAGCCACTATATCGAAATTTTGAAAATTCTTCCAAAAAAGAAATTTATTCTATAATTCAATTTCGTTTTATCTTTTAATTATTAATTCTTTTTAAATTAATTATTTAATTATTTATTTTATTATTTTATTAATTTTTATTTGATTTTTAATTTATTTCGTGAAAGTAAAGAATAACCTACATAATCATTTTCCAGTTGAGCAAGTTTATCAAGCGCATTCCGAACCATCTGCAAATGGTGTTAAATTAAAACACATAGCATTAAACAGGCATGAATATAGTCAAAAAATCTATTTGGCTCAACGATGAGCCAAATTAATATGAAATCTTATAGAATTCCAATATAGCTGCCCGTCTACACTGTATTAGTGGCAACAGAAAAATGACAGGTCTGACAACAGATCTGACAGGCATAGTGTGACTGATGTACCACTCCACAAAATGTCGCCTTCCGAACAAAAAGATGAGAACGTTTTCTCTCTTCGTTTTTCTCAATATCATTGTAACAGCTATTGGTTCAGGTTGACGAACAAATTGAGAGCGGGGCAAAACCGCACAGGTAAAGTTAATGCAGGATGCGCCGGAAAGGAATGGTTGGCCGTTAATCTGCAGTTTGTCTACTTACATACTTATACGGCTGGTCTTCATTCATGGGTGAGCACCAGCGATAACTGACAAGACTAGCCGCTTCGAAGAGCTCATGAAGAGCGGCACTGGTAGAAACTTCTCGCGCTGTAGGCGTAAAGTAGGAAACAGTCCTTGTGTCGCGTAGAATCGGTGATGTCACGGTTCGAAATCCAAGGCGTTCTGCGCAACCTGAGATACCTTCACCTCTCACCGGTTGCCATACCACCGACGCCGGAGACGGCTGGCCCTAATGTGGGGGACAATGAGACTATTTCATTGCTGTTTTAGCAAACTTGCTGCCTATGGTCTCAATACTGCCTTGCCAGAGCCGGTGTTGAGTCTTCACCATCGTGACTATAACCACTGTAGACCAGAAGGTGCAAAGGTGGCCTACTCTTAGCTGTTTGGACATGGAGACGTGGAAAATTCTGTCAGGGAGTGAAAAACGCAGGCGATAGGTTTCGGAATTTACAAGCCGACATCTGACGGCAGTGGCGAAAGCATGGGGCAGGAAGACAGAACGCCTTCCCTTTTATAGGTGCACATTTCCTCGAGCGAGTCCAGTCTTTAATCCAGAACGCGCAATTTAGACGTAATGTATCGGGCTACTTAACGCGTGATGAAAGAATTCAACAGCGAACCCGGGCGGGCTCGGACGGGCGGACAAGGGAAGCTCAAGGAAGTGGGCCGCCATCCCTTCACACCACGCCTACGCAAAGAGCTGACGGAGAGATGAGGAGTAAGAAGCCGGAAGGGTCCGAACAGGGAGTTCATGATAAGAAGCCGGAAGGGTCCGAACAGGGAGTATATGATACATAGGCAACGACATTAACCATAGGAATTAGGCACGAAAGACGAAAACAAACAGTATTTCATACAAGTGAGACCTTAACACAGAAAACCATGAATTCAAAATGTCTCTTAATCTAATCATACCAGAGTCGAAGAATACAGGTCAAAGAATTAACATAAGCGACATTCGCCAACCACTCTTGCATGAAGAGAATACCACAGTTTTTATCATATTTTAGTGATAAACGAATATAAATAAAAAGGCTAATAACTGACCCCATCATAAGGTGCTCGAGCAAGAGCCTTGGCAAAGTAACGAGTGGCAATATTTGTCTCACCAAGGCAAGCATAAGACATTGCCATCGAAGCCATGGAATGGTAATCCATAGGATTCATTAACAAGGCCTTGCTGAAAATTAGTCAGAGGCATAACAACAACAACGACGTTTAGTATAATCCTCGCAAGATATGAAATTGATAAAGTCTAGAGCTTCTTTTGATGATGTCGTTGCCGAACATCCGTCGTGGTCGTAAGCAATCGGCGGTTCCCACTATCTTCACTAGCCTTCTTACCACCCCGATTTCTACCAGATCTTCATTCTACTCACTTTCATCTTATCCTCACGTCAATCACATCACACATACTGTAATTTCAAGTGCACCATCACTAGCAAGGTGGAACAGATCACCTTCAAGATTATTAGACAATATCCTACCCCTCAGCCAACAGGATCGCAATCAATTTGACATGTCGAGCAGTTTTTTTGGGAACATAACTTGATAGCGCAATAATAAACCCACCTATGAAAATTGATAGATTCTCTGAATTTTCCTAACCTTCGCGATACATGACCCAGACTAGCTACCAACGGTTGCCAGAACGGATCAATCTGCCTAAACATTACGCAAAAATCATGAAAAGGGTCAAAAAGGGGATTAGGGTGTACGGCAACAACGTACTCATTAAGTAAAGAGCTTGAATCCACGAATTCGACATCCTCTGAGTCGGTGCCAATAACAGCCAGCAGAGCGTTATTAAAAAACTGTTCGGCTGCTGTAAAGAGCAGGAAATAAGGATCATGACAGCAGTGATTTTGGACATTTCAAAAATCCTACGAAACGCTGGCTTCGAAACTATAACCTATTCACGTGGTGCCATATGGCGAGCAGAAAAACACCATCCTTCGTGTGCCACTTGAAAACAGTCATGAGAGTACCTCACAGGAACAATGTGAGAGTCCATCTTCGCAGAAACAATTACGTTGCCAGTCAGTAGAAAAATTTGAAAAAAAAATACGGGGCCGTCTTGAAAAACTTCTAGAGTATCCTTCAGAAGCCAGCGTCCGCACCGTAGTTGCTGAGTTCTGCATAGCAGCGGATGTATAAACTGCAAAAATGAGAAACGGCACTCACTGTGGAACTTGCTATACCGGTAGTAGTAAGATCCACGCTCATGCATTATGACAGGATCACACGACCTTATGCATGATGCCTCACGAAGGAATTCCTCTGCCATCCTCACCCCTACCCTGCAGTACTGCATTCCAATGTACATCTTTGGCTCGTAGTGCCAAGGTAAGATTCGTGCGGCCTGTAATATAACAAATGAAAAACATGAAACGACAGGCAGCATTTTCGACACAACCCGGTAGTAGCAATTCAGAGCCTGTTCATTCTCAGATTCAGCCGCTAGAATGTGGCCGTACGCAATCCAAGCCTCACCAAAGGCTGTCCTCATCAGCGCCGACTTGTCTGCAAAATGTCTCCTGCGGTTAGCTGTATTAGTTTAAAACTTCTTTACATAAATAATGAATCGCTCCATACTTATGAAGTTTTTGGCCGCAGGTATGTTGTTGCATGTGAAGTAATACGCAGCAACCACATACCTAAATTCCAAAAGCATCTCAAGACAGCAAGGCAAAAATTAGTGAAAATTCTTACCAACTGTAATGGTGATCGGGAAAAGAGAATACCATTTCATGAGCAAGAAGGAAGAGTTTTTTCCAATCTTGAAAGTAGCAGAGGCAGTTCGCATGCAATATTATGCAGTCCTGACATATAACTTATTATATACTCAGAAAAGTGATTTCATCAGCGGTAATGATGTAATTCGGGATTTAGGCAGGAAACTCATAAGCATAATTCATCAACCGTAGTGTCTTGAACTTCTATGTTCAACTTTTCTGGACACATTGGCGTCGTTGAAGTCTGAAAGCAGCCTTTGGGTACCAGTGCGAATGGTGCAACCTCTACAGCTTTTGCAACGCTTGAGAACTCGCCCGCCTTGGCTGCGTACGTCGGTGGAGCGGTTTTGAGGCTCTTTCTGCGACTTCCTTGGCCGTTTTTTGACCCGACAGCTCCCTTAGGCTATTCTCGGAGTTCACAGCTTCACCCAAGAAAACATCTCGGAAGTCTTTATAATGTGAACAGTGCTTTGAAGCTCGCTCCGTTTTTATCCCATATGTAAAAATGAATTCTAGAATGAGAATTGGTAAAGCCGCCGAAATGCTCAACTTAAAACCATAACTTGAAAAATTAAGGAGTAGAGCTTGCGCCGCAAAAGTGAGCCCTCCAGTGGAGAACCGACCCTTTTCAGCTTCCGAATTTGTATGACTCATGCTGCACACGCCCCTTTCCCTTAGCATTATTACAAAGCAATTTATACAATCATGAAAGAATTGTGCTCGTAAAGAAAAAAGTATACATGGGCTTCGATATCATCATGTGATTGTTACCATGGGCTTCACTTAAACCCAAGGGCACCTCCTGCGGAGTCACCTTATCGCGATACAAAGGTTAATGATCAAGCATTTTATCTGACAGACACACCCACCGAAAATTACAAAAAAAGGGGAGAGAATAACTGCGAACTTGTTCAAACAATAGTAATGCAAATGAGAAGTGGACAAGAGATTAGTTTGCTTAACTACGATATGGGATTAAAATCTGTCCTAAATACACTTTGGCAAGGATGAACGAGTAGCTTGTGAATCGCAGCTGTGGGCGCAACCTCTTTTCCGAAGATTTAGCGTTTTTCCCACTATTTTCAGCTCATCGGATTCTGAGGATTACAATTTCGGGAGGAAATCAGGCTGAATATAATATAGCTGCCGTTCCTATCTTACTTCATAACAACTGAACAGGTCCTTTCCTTCGCGCCACATTGTCCCCGCAACCAACGAGTTAGAAAAAATCTTCAAGAAGGTCCAGACCTCAGCATTCTCCTCGCAACGTGAACGAATCTCTTTTTGAGTCCTCATGGCCTACCATCTCCGAGATAAAAGTGGACTCGAAATACCAATCCAAAATGAATGACGAGCAGAGATATCAAATACCTAGTTCAGCATTCATCCATTTTCCATCAAAACTCAACTCATCTCCGCCAATTATGGATATATCAGCAAACAGGAACACTGACCAAATATTTGATTCGATCAATCAAAGTATAATTCATCACAGAAAGGCATTACCATATGCGCAAACTTGAAATAAAAACCAAATCTGTGAAAAAATTCCAACGAACCATGTAAAGTCCATGTTCTTCCATTATCATAGTTGTTGTTTCCAAAGTCTCCGCAACTTTGCCATCCCGGTACAGCTCGCGGGCCAGCTCGGTCTTCTGTCGTGGATCGCCCGGGATTTCCGTTTGTTTCATCTTCTTCATCTGAAGTAACTTCTACTTTGAGGTAATGTAAAAAAAGAAATGGAAAGCTTACGATTCGTCTGACGGGACCAATTTCCTGACCCCTGTCCCACCTCTCCCTCCCTCCTCCCCTCCCCATGGTCATATATGAAGTTGGCGTTATTTACCATAATGGAATTTGCCTCTGACCTCGTCCCACCTTTTTCGCCTCCATCTCCTCCTCATGCTCATGAATTAAATTGATGCTGTTTACTCTAATGGAAGAATTAAAACGAAAACAAGTTTCAAGCAAACAAGTTGAACACTGCTGGTTCAATTTTTAAGCAGGTAAAAATTTGATATTTGACTGCAATAATGCTTCATAAATGGCCAATCACCTTTTCACATTCTTTTCACAATTTACCAACTGCAAGGGTGACTTTAAAATAATACCGTTTCAGAGAGACACCTGGGCATTTCTCTTCCATTCCCCGGCAGTGGCCTATACTATGGTCACACGGCTCTGCCAAAGTGCCACCCAGTGCTCACCTCCTTTTTCTCCTTACAGGTTTCCACTAACTCAGCGACCTAGACAGAAAAAAATCTTGACTGAGCTTGGAGGGCAGTCTGGTATCGACGTAATGATCCTGCAGTGTGATAGCAAGCCTTCTATCATTGGTAAATCTCCGCCTTTACCTTACACCTACCTTCCTAACTACTTATAAACAGTCGTAAAAAGCCAAAGAAGAGCTCACCAAGCGATAGCAAGGATCTTTGCTTGAAGAAGGAACTAGTTTGTAGTTTCTCAGTAACTGCTCAGCTGCCAAAGAGCGACGGTCCTCAAAACCAACACCTGTTAGTTGAAACAAAGAACGAACTGTTAAAAAATGATAAGCAAACCTGTAAAAAAGCTGCTACCAAGCAACGAGATGCAAAATCTCGATTCTCCAGAAGGATATAGGTTCGACCGTAGACAACCATAAGGGCGGAAAACAACTGAATTGAATCTTAATAAAACAAAAACTCCAAATCAGAAAAAAATAAATTAAACACATTCTCAAATACAAAGGGATCCGACTGTATCAAAAGCAGATCAGGTGGAAAGACTCTGTGCACAATATCCATTTGGTATATTAGGTCAACGAAACGCTGTCTATCCACAACTGAACTAAGCTTGCTGAATGAAAAGGAAGTTGCTGGTTCTCTTTCTGTTAAAACCCTTCCCTGGGTATGTTCACACGGCTCCAAGTCGAATCGTGCCGCACTTCACTCACTCGCCGACTCGCTGGGGGGACTATACTCAACTGGACCAATATAGAATGTATGATCAGGAAATTCGTTACTTTTCAAATCCTACAATTGCAATGAAGAAACAAAAAACAACTTCACTTTGACATAAAACATGGAAGATGAAAAAGATACAAAAGGAAAGGTAATCATAAACGAAGAAAAAACCTATAACATCGAGGAAAACACTCACTCTCCCACTCGCCAGGAGGGAAACTAGGAGATGAGCATTCTTGCGCTTCTCAAAATGTTGTTGAGAGATGTCAGTTATATCACTCTTGAGGCTACATAATTTTGGACCTCATGTTATGATGACATGATTTTGATTTTTTTACATCTTATCTAACTATTTCGAATAAGCAGTCGTAACAATAATTATTACTACTATTATAACTGTAATAATAAATATCTGTATCTTAATTCAAAGAATCGATATTAGCTCAGCTGATTCTGGAAGAGAAGTCAGCAGCCAACCAATTGAGAGATCATACCCACCTCACAGGCGGGTGAGTTGAGGTGCGAAGAAACTATTTTCTAATTGATTTGCCTCTCCCACCCTTTCACGAAGGGTGAATAACTCCTTTCAATGGAGCGAAATGATTGGTATGTTTCGAAGCCTGACAACAAAGCAGTGATAGCTGTGGAGGAGTCAGCAATAAGCCGAGCCCGGAAGCTACTGCTCGTGGCAGATTATGTCCTGCTGGGCGAGGCCTCGGCAGACCAGAGTCAGTCTACCGACTGGTTGTCCCGTTTCCGTTGCGAACCCCTGCTGCATTCTCAGATTCCGCTCCTTTCCTAGATTAGATGTCTACAAAAAGAAATGGTTAATCTTGCGTTATAGAACAGAAGAGCGTATCGGTTTGCTCAAATTGGTGAGGACTTTTTAGGTATGAGCTCTAGCTTCATTTTTGCTGACTTATGGGCACTGCTGGAAGTAAAACCTTAACATAAGATAACGAAGGATAAATTTATGGATCCAAAAACCTGACCTTGAGAGATGTCATCATTTTATTTAACGCTGCAAGATCATTCTCGGACAATTCTGCACTGAAAGAATCCAAGTAGTCTTCCAATCCACAATGATAATCAGGATATCTCACCGGGAGCCCCTCCGTCAACATCTGAACAACATTAATAAAACTGACCAACTTAACCTTGATTCCAGTTGATTTTAGAAACAACTGTAATTGAATCTCACTGGTAGAAACGAGATACATAATGTTCCATTCTTTTATCTCCGCACAGAATTACGTATTACAAGGGCAATCCTAGATTTTTCTTTACTAGCTGCTCAGCGTAGTATCCAAAGAAATCAGTAGTCCGAAGATCTTGAGATAAAATGAACAATTTAGATCCAAAATTTTGTCATTGCCCGTGATACTTCCAATCGCGATGCATCTTTTGAAAAATACGCATTAATTGCACAGCAGGAAAAGTAATAGTCGTAAGTCGGATAAGGATTCTATAGTAAATCCGTCCACATGCGCCATCTCTACGAAAAATCGCTCAAAAAACTCACCAAATTCCCGATGGGGAGCTGAACTATAACCGAGTACATTCGAAGATGAAAAAGAGCATTTACATAGTAATAGGCAAATACAATATGCTTTTTTACGAGGTGGCGATTGAGTATCAACTGTGATACACGTTTATACTGATGAACAATCGTCAGATCCTAAAATAGTTCAAAGAGTACAATGAGCATTAACCAAAGCGTGGAATAAAGAATGACTGCAATTAAGGAAATCATCAAACCTTAACGTAGTTCGCAAAGTCAATCACACTCGAGGAGGTTTCGCATTTTTTTGCATACGATCTATCAATCCAATAGGTAGCAGTTTCGCAGTCACCTTGTGACAAATATCTTCTGAAAAGACATCATAACATCATCATCTCGTATATGTCATTTAGAATGCAGTAGTGACCAATTAATGGCAAACTTGGCAAACTTACGAAATTAAAAGATCATAGTCATCTTCATCAACGACCTTATAGCATTCGAAGTCGTCCTGCTGACTGTAACAAATAGATTCAATTCCAAAAAATTGAAGAATGCCTGTATTCTTTTTTGTTGTAACTACGAAACCAGTTTAACACTTTTTAGCATGGTAGCAAGTAGGTGAGTGGCAGTAACTGAAACTGCAGGAGCTGCATAAACACCCTCACCTTGATCACCATTTCAAATGAGCTGATTTAAGAGGCCAGAATGGTCTCTGGCTAACTTTTACGAACATAATTTTATCGAAACGTTGATATACTCCGATTTTATACAATTCGCAGTGAGTGTCGATGTGTGTGTTGCTTGACCGAATCTTTGTAACCCCTGTTCCCTATGACCTAGAATGATCTAATCTGAATGGGACTCAGGCGGCAAGATGGGAGCACTGATGTGGGGTGATAGAATGAAATAACTACTAATATGACTGATAAGGCTTAAAAGACAAGAGTCACAAAATCCGTTGGGCCTTTGGTTTAAATAGTGGAACCTTGCCGCAATGATAGGTGATGTGAGGCGCAGAAGGACAGTAGATGGTTGATGACAGGGAACTCATGAGGGCCAGGCGTCCTTATGGCGTCCTTCGTGTGAGCAGAGCTTTGGCATTTTGGTGGATGATGTGAAGTGTAATAATCGAAGATGCTGAGTGATAAGAACAGATAATTGATAAAGGCTGATAAATAGCCGTAGAAGGAAGAGCTCCTAAGGCGAATGTGCTGTTTAGGTATTAGAGGATGCTTGACACTCGAAGATTGATCGGAATTATGGATGATCAATGACAAGGACTAACAAGAAATTATTAAGACTGATTATTAATGCCAGAAGATGTAGGGACGTTAGAGTAGGTAGAGAAAAGAGGGATGATAAGTGCAGCGATAAGGGCCAATCGAAGTAAGTTAGATATGAGTAGAACGAAGTCTAATTTTTCTTACCATTTGATTACGAAGACCTCAAAATTTGCGACTACTTTCATCACTACGATATCAGTTGCCTCAAAACCTATGCTATCAGCAATGATTTGAAAATTTCAGCAAGTGATTGACATACATGAAGATGAAAGGACAACAAATGCGGGTCTCTGACAATGAAGTTACAATCAACAAGCTGAGCTACGCACATAACTTGTGCATTAAATGCTAACATCTACGCCTTTATGCGATCTCCCTCAAGAATAAAGGACATTTTTCATGCTTCACCCAAGATACCGCTGCGGTTTCATTATTGGAAAACATGCACCTAGGCACTCGGGTGTAAAGGGTCTTTCTAAGTGCGAATACACTATGAGCATTTACATTCAAAGTCCGTTCAAATTAAACTATATGCATTTGCGCATCAATGATGTAATTAAAATCAGTGAGAAGTGTTTGACGATGTCTTATGCCAACTGATGACGTGTGACTTGTTTTATTATGCCTAAGGTTTCCCCACCATACCTCTTCTCATTTCTGAATGTCTGACCAATGACTGAAAAGAACCAAATAGGGTTCACTCCTGTGGAGAAGGAAAGGTACCCACCTTTGAATGGTGCTGCCCGTAATAATGTTCTCCAAGCAGGAATAGTATCTTAGCAAGCTTCTTACATGATTGAAAAGAGATGAATAAGCTGACAACTGAACGTACCATTCTTTCCCTTCTCGACTTGATGCATAAAGTAATGATCTCACCCACGCATGTGCTCCTCCCCTCCTGATGCTCACTTTAAAACTCTATCAACAAAAAAAACTACACTAAAAACTAATAACTAGCTTGTTTGCCTAAACTCATTGCTCAGTTGCAGAATAGTCGGCGCGCCATCAGAGCAAACAAAGTGAAGGCTTGATGAAGAGGAGACGCACCCCATTCACACTATAACACTAAGTTGGTTTTTGCCGTCAGTTCACTGTAATCTATGCTATGGTTAATGAACCCTTAGACAAACTATTTGGAAAGAGGCCTTTTTAATTGCCGCATCACATTTCTACATAGCAATATTAACAAACTGGTAACTCACTCAGCTGTTTCCAGTCGAGCGAATGAGTCCACATCGCAGTCCCGTAATAACATTCCAAAGGTAGAGATTTTCAAACTCGACCTCTTCCGCTGGTGTCACAGATCCACAGAAAAATTACTGTAACGCCGCTTTTTCGAATTTAGTCATAACGACCACACAAAAAAAAGAGAGGGAGCGAAATACTATGATTAGAGAGCACCTCTTACGAATAGAGAAAGTGACTTCATTTGCGACGCTAAGCGAAAAAAACTTCCCCCACGCCGTGTAATTGCGTACTGCTAGCCAGCACCGTACACGACGGCATGGGGAACGGAACTTACGTGCGTCCGAGGATGCGCGCGGCATGTTGCGCGGCGAGGTGCGTGGCGGTTCGAACGATTCTGGCGCCTATCATTGGTGTCCAAATTTGGAGTAGAGTAGATTAGCAGTATCAGCTGATCCTACTAATCTACTGTACTATAAATTTGAGCCCCAATTCAGCCGCGCAGTTCGCACGAATCGCAGTGGGTACGGGTACTTACGTGCGACCGAGGATGCGCGCGGCGAAGTGCGTGGCGATTCGAACGACTCTGGCG